GCCCCCCCGGCCCCGAGAGCCTCGGCCGACGCGGCCGCCGACGCGCTGGAGGCAATAGACTCGTCCCCCATGGAGTTCCGCGCCCTGAAGAGCCCCCCGTTGTTGCCCGGCCCCGGGCAGCCCTGTGTGGTGGTGGTGCGGGTGCCGAAGGGGCCGCCGATGCCGCCGCCGCCGCCGCCCATCGGCGACTGCAGCGTCACCGCCTGCCCCTGGCTAAAGTACCCACCCGGTTTCGGCTTGAGGTGGCGGTTGTGCAGCTCCATGGCCACGATCTTGGAGAACTCGATCTGCGCGGCCAGCTTCTGGATTTCCTCCTGCACATAAGTAGGTGGGGCAAGGGTCACATCACCTCCTCTGCACACCGCACAGCCCCCCTTCACCCTCTGCCCCCTCCCCCCTGGATGGGGACCTCACCTTGAGCTCTTCGTTTTCCTGGTACAGGTCGGCCGTCTCCTCGGGGACCAGACCGATGCCGTTGAGGGAGAAGGACGCCGTCACGCCGCGCGCCCGCGCCCGGTTGTCCCACTGGTCGCCCTGGCCGCGCAGCACGCGCACCACCTGCAGCAACGCCCGGCAGGCCGTCAGCGAGGTCGCGCGCACCATCGCGTCCGCGAGCACCCTGGCCCTGGCGGCGCAGCGCACACCCTCGCGCGCACCCCACCCTGTCCGTCCCCGCCGTCTCCGCACTCACCTTGGGCGCGAACACGAGCCCCACCGTCACCGAGGTGCTCAGCTGCGTCCGGATGAAGCCGAGCAGGTACTTGATGTCGGGCCCGGCGTGCGGGAAGATGAAGAGACTGCGGGACAAAACGCCCAGGTCAGTCGATAACGCGCGCTCGTACGGGGTTGGTAAACCGCCGTGTCGGAAGCGCCGCAAAAGAGTGCGTGTACTACTCACTGGAATGCGACCATGGTGGTGTTGACGATGGCGATGTTGTATATGGCGTAGCTGATGAGGCGTGCCTCGTTGTACAGAGACTCGGCGTTGCGCACGTTGTAGCAGACCTTGATGCCCCACAGCAGAAACAGCACTTCACCTGCAACGCAATAAGTTGCATCACAGGCTGCTCCACGAACTCCTTTCTTTTTCTTAAGTGGTACTGTGCCGTACGGCATGCGAGTGGGCGGGATTGCCTACGCGCTCGGGGCGTGAGGCGCCGACATGCTTAGGGAGGGAATCGACCTTACATCTGTTTGGGTACAGGTACAGTATACCAACAAGAAAGAAATAGGCCCGCAATGGGCCAGCCACCCTGGATTGGTGCCATAGTTTTACAAAATAGACCCTCTTACTAATTTTGATTTGAAAAACAACACAATCTAAACTAAAGCACAGACCTATGGACAAGCTGTGGTCCCACCAGTTGTACTGGCACTGCTTGAAGGCGAGCCCGTGCGAGTCCTTGATGACCTCGGCCTGCGGCGGCGCGCTCAGCGTCCACGCGCCCAGGAAGATGAGCATGACGAGCAGGATGGGGAACATCCACTGCAGCAGCTGTTTGTCCGTCAGCTTGATCTTGTGCGCAGACTTGACGCGGTACGTGAGCGACACCCTGGCGACGAGAGAGACGGGGTGCGACACAAAGGGATGAGTCATTCATCACTTGGAGAAAAGAAACAGGATAGGCGGTGGGGTAGCGGGGGGAAACTACACTGGACAATCACCTCCACGTCTTCATGAGTAGCGCGGTGTAGGTGATGCAGAAGCCGAGGTGCCGCGCCCACTTGGTGGCGATGCACGAGTACGAGTCCAGCACGGGGAAGATGGCGGCGAGCTGCGATCAGCACAAAAACGTAATTAGGTAGAATCAAAGACGTCGCGTCGTTTCGACGGGGGATCTTTTCCCCAACCCGCTCTGCCCCCCTCACCTCGAGGTACATCATGGCGCAGCCCAGCAGCGTGATGGCCAGGAAGATGGGGGAGGCCACCTTGAACACCTTGATGCGGCGGTTGTGGTAGACGTACGCCGCCAGGGCCAGCACCATGACCACGCAGCACACGGACACTACCAGCAGGCTGATTCTGTAAAATCAAACCGTTTCCATGGGCCATCATCCTTTGACTGTCCAAACTAACCAGCAGACTGATTCTGTAAAAATCAAACCGTTTCCATGGGCCATCCTTGGACTGCCCAAACGGAAGTCACCATGTTAGAGCATAGCGATTTCCGTTTTCTTCTTCTACGCGCATTCTTCTGCATTTCAGCCTTGACGGGAAAATGCTTTGCTTTATTCGCAATCGTACAATCGTATCACTACGATGATTAGGTCAGATTGTATAGGGGAAGAGCAGACGGGAAATGAATGGACCGCAGCAGCAGGCCGCGCCCCCTAGGCGGCGGGTGTCACAACTAACTGCAGCCGCCTGTGTCAGCAGCTGATCGGCAGTCAGTGGTTGGCATCAGTTGGCATCGTAAACAACAGGGACAAACGTGCAAAGAAACGAACTCTGTCGTGTCTGTTCGTCGTTATTGGCGATTTGGTGATAGATCGACGGCGCTGCGAAGGAGAGCTAGTTATCGGTGAGTCACTTGTGGAGTTATCTTACCTGAACGGCCAGTTGTACCGCGCGAGGCATGGCTCCGGCCCTCGGCACGTCTCGCAGCCCGGGGCGCACTGCTGACAGAGGAACAGGGACAGCGGCCCCTTGGACCAGGGCGCCGGCTGCTCCTGCGACAGGCCCTGCAAGCCCTGCTGAGCCTGCTCGTACTCCTGCCAGGCCTCTGCGGGACACGCACGTACGCCGGGTATCTCTCAGTATAACCTCAAAATCGCAACCCTAACCTATAAAAATTGTACGAATCATGACGACACTCACGCTCGACGACCGTGCCGTTGAATATCCCCCTGTTGCTGTGGCTGTAGTAGCCGGGCCTGCAGCGGCAGTAGTAGCTGCCCCTGGCCCAACCCGCGCCCGGTGTGTGGACGCACTGTAACACGCATGGCACATATGCGCAAGTCGAGTCAGCCAAAGTGTCTTCTTTCGTTAGTGGGGGAAGGGGGGGGGGCACGAACTAGTCGCACGTCTCTGTTGCTTTTACGGCGGCGCGGCTGTCTGCCCCACCACCTGCTCCACCGCCTCTAAAAGCGATGCTTGATTGGCGGGACGAGTTGCCCGCGTGACGGGGGGTCGACCCACTCAACCCTAACTCCTACTTTACTTTACCTGCCCCTCTGGCCGCGCCCTATACTTGTCGCGAACTCTTTGACGTTCCGCTCACGTTTCCCAAGTTTCCAGGGGAGGTTCAACTTAGAGACTCGTGGGCCGCCGCCGCCCCAGCAGCTGCCCCTCTCCAAACACCTTCCCCACCCCCTCCTCCCCCCTCACCTCCGTGGTGATGTTGTCGCACTTGTGCGTGCCGTGGAAGACGCTGATCTGTTGCTCCTCGGCGGGGACGTGGCGCTGCGGACTGTTCTTGGCCTCGCACTGGTTCACCTCCAGCATGGACAGGTCCACGTCCACGCTCAGGAAGCCCTTGGTCCTGCGGTCACAGAGAGATCGGGTTTAGACGCGGTTTTGCAGCTGTAAAGTAGTGCCTGAACATGGCTCCACGGCACCCGCAGACTTACGGGTGTCGGCTGGTGGGTGGCACGGGCACGCTGTAGGAGAGCAGCCAGCGCCTGGACGAGCACGAGAAGTAGGGGAAGGTCCACCAGCCGCGGAACGACACGTTCGCCGGCGAGTCGACAAACTTTGGCGAGCGGAGCGTGGGCGACGTGGCCGAGTCCTCGTACCAGGGCAGGTCGGCCGGGTCGGCGGGCAGGCTGGCCGGGTGCGCGCGGGTCGGCCCCACGAGCGCCAGCCCCTCGCCCTCGGCGTGCCACTCGACCATGTTGACGACGCCGCCCGTGGACGCGTTGAGCGCCAGGATGCGAGCCGAGACGACGTGGCGCTCCGACAGGAGCAGCGCGCGGGTCAGCGCGTCAAGCAGCCCTAGAAGGACAAGCACGACGTCGCCATCAGCTCGGGGAGGGGAGGGGGGGCGCAACCAACTGCTGCTCTGCCTGCTGGGCGAATCTTGTTGTACACACTTTGCCGACACTTGTCAGCCAACTCGCCCCAAAGTGGAGTGTGCATGACCTTGGGCAACGCACAGCTGCCCCCGTGGGAGCTGCCATGCCATACCCCCGGCCCCGGCGAGACCGCTCTGCTGGACCCCGGCACACGACCCTCTGTCCGAACCAAGTGTCCTTGTCCTCAACCCCCTTCCCCCCGCCCCGCTCTGGCGTAGGGCGGGTTGCCTACCACAGGGCGGGAAGGCGACGTCAAACCTCCCCTTTCCATCCCCCTCTCCCCTCCTCTTCTGTTTCCCTCCCGATATATGCCGTATGTGATTTTTATTGAACTATTTTTAATTAAAGAACGATTGACTTCACATTCCGAGCGCCGATTACCGTAGTGTCTAAACACTTTCGCTATACGCTCGGTCGTATCGCCCTAATGGATTCCCATCGTGTTGCAGTGCACAATGGACGGGTTGCCGGATGACGTGCTGGTGCACATAATGTCACACCTGGAGCTGCCGGAGCTCTTGCACTGCCGCCTCGTGTGCCGCAGGATCGCCCCGCTCGCGCTGCACCCGGACGTGTGGCGGCACAGATATTTCACGTATAGGGACCGCGAGTTGTGCACCGTGCTGCGCCTGGCGCCCTGCCTGAACGCGATCAAGGTGAAGGTCCCGTGGCCGTGGTGCCACCTGCTGTTCACGGCCCCGTGCGCCGTCAGGTGCGTGTCCGTGACGATCAGCGGCCGGGAGGGCGCGGCCGCGCAGGCCGCCCTCCTCCTCCGGCACCAGAAGGAGCTCGGCCGGCTCAGGAAGGTCCGAGTCCTCTTCCGCCGCGCGGAAGAAGGACCTCCCCTGACGAAGACCGACGCATCCGTGCTCTTTGGGACCCTGGTGTCGACGCCCGACCTCGACGCCCTCTCGGTCGGCGGAGTCAACTGCGACCTCGCCGCCCACGCGCCCGTCGAGGCGAGCCCGCCCGTGCTGCACCGCACCGTCGCCGCCTCCCTGAAGCACTTCCGCTGCGACCTCGCCCCCGGGCTCGGCCTGTTCTGCGACGCCGTGCTGGCGACGCACTCCGCCACCCTGGTGGGGGTCGCCCTCATGTCCGCGCGCACGCCGCCCACGCCATCGACGGCCGCCCTGTTGGTCGCCATGCCCCACCTCGCGGACCTGATCTGCCCCATCTTCGCCGGGATGGACGCGCTGGCGGCGTCCGCCTCGCTGCGCCGGCTCAAGCTCAGCGGGTCGCCCCTCGCCGACGCTGCTGCCCGGGCCGCCGCGCCCGCGGCCGCCAGGCTCCTGCGGCGCGCGCACCAGCTGCGGGCCGTCCACATCGGCTACAGCCTCAACCTCCCCAAGGACGTCGAGCTCATCGCGGCCATGGCCACGTCGGGGCTGTCGCACGTGGAGTCGCTGTCCATCGAGAACACGACCCTGTCGTTCCCGCAGCTGCAGGAGCTGCTCGGCGCGCTGCCCAGGCTGCCCGCCCTCAACCGACTCACGGTGTACTCGGCACCGGACGAGCTGCAGCTGGACATCCGCCCCGTCACGGCAGCGGGCCTGCGCAACTTTTTCAATTTGACTGCATAGTTTATGAGATGCTCTGTTAAATTTGTACTAATTTATGGTCTGACATCGAGCAAATGTGTAAAATTGTTATTATTGTAAATCTACGCCGAACATCAGTTCTGTTTATTGATAATTAAACTGCATGTTTGAAGAAATTGGCGAGTATTAAGCCTTCCAAAGACTTTTAAAAACTTCTAGCGTCCCAAATTCGCGAGACCCCGTCTGGAAAGCTTTTACGCGTTTATGTCGACGGGACAGAAAGGGTGCAGTCGGGCAGAGGGAGGGTGACTGCAAACTGGAGGAGGGTGGGGGGAGGGCGGTAGCTGAGTGAGGTGTGCGCAGTGCGCAAGAAACACAATCTGCTCGGCATTTCGCAGGGAACAAGGGGGATTATATAAACTTGATCACGGGGCCCGCCTCGCTCCGCCTCAGGTGCCCCCACCTGACGGCCCGGCGCGCGGCAGGCAGACGCGCCGCGCAGCTGCCGCACCTGCCGCAGCAACGCCAGGTGGGATAAAGGTCCAGACTTTCGAGAGAGAGGTCCCGCCTAATCGCCTTCGCCGTTATATTGGTGCTAGCGTCAACAGAGTTTCGACCTCGCACACTGTTGTTGCACCCAGCCTGCTGCTTATGCATGTGGCGGCGGTGGTGGTATTGTTGGTGTTCTCAAATAGCGGCCGTGTCGATGTCCTCGTCGGGTCGGGGCCTGGGCCCGGAGGCTGCTGTACCGTTCAGCTATTCCACCTGGCCGAGTGATGTAGTGCCCGGGGGTTGCATTGGGACCCCTCCTCGCAGGGGAGGAGGAGGAGGGAGGGGGTAAGTAAACGGCCTGTGCCTTGGGCGCGGCGCGCCGGCGCCAGGAGACCCCTCGCTGTTGAGTGGGGCTCAGCACAGGAGGAGCCCCCCCGGGGGCCCCGCGGCGGGGTGGGCCGCCCTGC